TATGAAGAAAGCAGTCTTCTGGGATTTGGCACCGTGTATATGTGGTGTTAACCCCACATATACATGGTGCCAAATCCCAGAAGACTGCCTTCTTCTTAGGTTGATGTGTTCGTCGATGTACGTGCGAAAGTTATCCCAGTTGGTTTGTTTTGTACTGAGTGTTGGCATGCTGGGGTTGTTTATTTGGTATCTGCTTAGTGTTGCTATCACTGGAGTGTGGTCAGACGATAGTTCGAAATTCGATTCGACTTGGATGTAGCTGGCTGTTATGCCACGGAGGACAAAGAAGTCTAGTAGGTCGGGTTTCTTGTTACGGTCGGATGGCCAGTACGTCGGTTCTCTGGTACTGATATGCTTGCAGTTGTTAGCATGTATGGCCTGAAGTAGGTTTCTACCTTTTGGCGTTGTTAGCCTCGCTCCCCAGTCTATGTGTTTTGAGTTCCAGTCGCCACCTATGAGGAATCGAGTTCCTTGCGATTGGAGGAAAGTGGTGTATTCGCTGGTAGAGATTGGATGTCTCGGCGGGCAGTAGATTGCGGTTACGGTAAATGGCCATGGCTTTGCAGTGACTCGTATACTAGCGGCTTGTATTTTGTCGGTTTGATAGTGCACAAGTTCGTGGTGAGGTATCGAGTTTCTGACGATCACGGCTGCGCCCCCGTGGGCCCTGTCGTCTGGGTGATGAATGTGATATATCTTGTAGGTAGGGATCTTGAGTACAGTTTTGCTGGTGAAGTGCGTTTCTGATATGAGGGCGATGTCTATTTTGTGCATGCTAAGGAATGTTTGTAGTTCCATTTTATGACTGGATAGCCCATTGGCATTCCAGACTGCCAATCGTAGTGGGTTCTGAATTAGTTCACAATTTTATTGATGACCGTGCTGAGCATGTTGATTATCATGCTGTTTTGACTGATTAATTGGTTAAACATGGCTTTGAATTCGTTTAGGAATGCGGAAAGTTGTTCGGTTACGTTGGGTGGTTGCTGATTTTGTGTGACTATCTGAGAGTAGGGGGTGGGTTGGTGCAATGGTATTGGGACAAAGTTGATGTTATCGCTGTTGTTGTTGTTGCTGTTGTTTAACACTTGTTGTTGGGTGGTAGGTAGAAAGGGGAATTCGTTCAGATCGGTCGTGTTGATGATTGGGTTTGGTTTGTGTGCAGCGGTGAGTTTCGATGAATGAGCTCCGCGTCTTGCGTTTTGTAGGTTTTTGTATATGTTACATCCTTTGTAGTTGGCCGGATGGGTGCCTCCACAGAGCGCACATTTTGGTGGGGTATTTGGGCTTTTTTTGCAACTGGTGGAATTATGCTCTTCTCCGCATTTGACGCAGGCGTACGGTTTCATGCAGTATGATTTAGTGTGTCCGTAGCACTGGCACCTTGTGCATTGCACAATGGTGTTTTTCTTTCTTGGGGCCTCCACCCTGATTCTCGAGTTGCACAGGAATTCGATGTCGTAAATATTCTTGTTGTTTTCTTTCGGTTCTATATCCACAAAGAATAGGGGCAGTGGCTCCTTCGTTTGTCGGTGTTGGATGTTTAGTATATTGCGGACTGTGTGGCCATGGTTTTGTAGTTCTTCTTTTATTTGTTCTGTGGGTATTGTATGGTGCAGGTTTCGCAGGACAATACGGTAAGCCCTTTCGTCTCTGATTTGATAGGTGTGATGCATAATCTTGTCTTCCTGGATTTTCCTAATTAGTTTCCTGTAGGTGTCTGCGGTATTAGTGTTGATTTTGATTGTTTCTTTGGGGAGTGCTTTGCAATAATACTGCTCTTCTTCAACGACTTCGCTTATATATTTAATCATTTCTCTATAATTTGTCACCCCGTATATGTATATCGGGGGCGGTTTTCTTTCCCTTGGTTGGTTGCTATTGATGGTGGATTTGTTCGTGTCATTTGTCTGCATATCCTCGTCTTCAAGGTCAGATAGCTCTGCAAATTTATTTTGGGTGTTGAGTTGAAACGGGTCTTCTGTTGCCTCTTCTGGGGTCAAACGCATTCTTTTCCTTTTTATAGTTTGCCAGTTGTATTTTGTGGTGGTTGGCGGGTCGTCCACTGGATCGCTTGTTGATGAGTTTTGTTTGTTCGAGTTTTTGTCACCATGTTGGTTGGTGCGCTGGGACGTGAGGGATGATGGTTGCACGTTAGACGATTGTTGTGGGGGTATACTGCGATTTGTTTGCTGGTACTGGTACGGTTGGGGCATTGTTGGTTGCTGTAACATTACCTGTGGTTGTAATGGTGCTTGTGGGTATGGATTCATTTGCTGTTGCTGCGTTAGCTGCTGCTGCATCATTAGCTGTTGCTGCATAATTTGTTGTTGTTGTATTGGGTGTTGTTGCTGATTGGCACTGAAGCACTGGTTTTGCGGAAGATGAGTTGGTTGGAACATTTTTTTTTATTATTTTTTTTTATATAGTACTGTGCACTTTGAAACGTCGGCAGCACTGCCTAGGTTCACATGATGTAAAGAACTGGGTTAATACCAACGGGTAACTACTGTGAAAGACGAAAATCAATAACAGCACTAATAAATATGGCAGTTTGAACACTGTTAGACGGGTGTTGCAGGGATTGCTTGTAATAGATATGGTAGTAGATTCACTATGCACTATGCAAAAAGTCGTAGCACTGTATGAGCTATACCTTTCACTGTTTACGCACGGTTCACTGAGCGCTGCACAAGACACGTCTGCACTGCTCGGCGTCTGTAGATAGAGTGCCGATATTTCCATTGACTGTAAAAACTGCATATGCATTATCTTGAAACAGATGATTTTAGGGATGTGTAAAATGTTCAGTTTACATTGTGTAACAAGATATAAAGCTTAGAATTTTAAGCAATCATTGTTTTCTGATATATAGACTACAGGGATTTATAATATGACATTTCATCAAATCCTGTTATATTCTCATTGACAGATGGTACAGCTAATAGTTACAGCAACAGATGTTACATTAAGTGCAGAAGAGTTTCCAGGTTTGAACTAATGCTTTATAATAATTGTATTGCATCATCAATAAATCGCCTATGATCAACCATTCACTGTCATCAAGGTAACAAAAACTAACACTTGTAATACACCTCTCAGGCACACATTACATCATGGGAGCTTAAGGGGAAATGAAATGCCTTTCATGAGGTAACAGTAGGTAACGTTATACCTAGGCTTAATTAACACACCATGAAGATGTATAGGGAAATGATAGCTCCATCATTCTTGACCATGACAGTATATGGAGGTCAGTGGCGAGCTTCACCCCCAGGGAAACAGCCCCCAGAACCATTGTATAGAAGGCCGGGTGGATCCCACAACCAGGCTGAACATTAGTCTCTCTTGCCCCTACCAGGAATCAAACCCTGACTCCTCAGTATTCCAGCTCTTAGCCTAGCCATTATACCAAGTGAGCTATCTATTTCTGTGCATAAAGGAAATGAAGGAATAATGGTATCATTATGAATAATACTAATAGCAGATTTTACACAATATTACAGGAGAAATTTGAAATCCTGTGTCGAGTAAGTTTCAATAGTTTGCTTCCCTCCTCCTCACCACCAAAACCCAAAGGACTCTATAAAGAGCTCTAAAAGGAAGGGAAGATTCTGTTTTATTTCCTTATTTTTTCATATGACATTATTGCAGGCATTAATTCTATTTTGTTTTGTCATTAATGAGATTTACAGAAAGTGAGAAGTTCATCATTGCTCAAGTTACATGTCATTTCTTAATGCATTCTGTGTATCCACTGTCCCAACATTTAGAGAACCCTATGTGGGTAAAGGAGAGGGCAAATTTTGCTATAAATGAAAAGCATATGTTCCACACATATCTTTAATGGAGCTTACATGTACATCATATTTTTAACTTTTTACTGTTATCTGTAAGTAGAGACTCCCATTTCTCTGTTGATGGGTTGGATGGAAGCACCCACCCTACAGGAATTGATGAGGACATTACAGCTCCAGGGGCAGCCACAAATTTATCCCATGAATGCCTGTAATAAAAAACAGTGCAAATCAAATCTGCATCAGTAACATAACAAATTCTTAAAACAAGATACTCTACTAAAAGTGAAAGTGAAAAATAAAACATTAACAAGCAACCAAGCTAAAAGTTCATTTTATGTGCACCTAAGAAATACAGGTTGTCAGACAACATGGAACCATCCAATTTTCAACAAAACAAACTCAAACCTGTGCATATGTTACAAAAATAACAACATTACCATGTTTAGTGTTTGTGTCTATTTGTCTTTCATATAATCAAAACTGGATCCACAATATATATGGTATGACAAATGGGTGAAAGGAAATTTATATGAGAATGGTGCCTGAGGAAAATACTGAGTGTAAGAACTTGTGGGCACCTGTTACAGTGGAATTCCATTCAGTGTCTCTGGGGGACAACATATTTGATCAATAAACCAAGAAAAATCTTAAACAGAATGGACTTAATACTGAGACAGAAACCGCACAAATTAAAACACCACATATGGGAAGACTTTGAAATACAACACTTTTAACCAAGAATGTCATTCATTTCTTCCTACAATTAACATTGAGACAGAAGTAATGGCCCCAGGGCCATTTTTGGATGCTAAATGCAAGTGTCCCCTACTGCTGAAGGTAAAAAAGAACCTTGCAAGGTGTGGTAGGAAGTATCTCAAGATTATATCAGCAGTCACAGTAACTGTTTAGTTTAAAGCAGGTTACTGTATTATGGAATGTGACATGTAGTCTAGTTGATATTTGTTGCTTTAGAGGAACCTACTGCATCCAGCTCCAGGGTGGGGAAGACGGAGACAGCAGGTTTCTTGAAAACACTGATATATATCTACCAGATTACATAGTTTCATGTAACCTAAAAATTTCATGTTTTATTTTAATACCTGTAATTTAAAAACCACAATATTTTTTGTGTAAATATCATCTCTACAGTCTGATCCATGTCTTTATGAGTATATTTATGACTGTTTTATTCTGGTACCTGATTGCAACAAATGCATCCACATCCTCCTCTGCTGCCTTGTAGAAACTGCTGTATGCTTCTCGCTTTCCGAACAGCAATGTCTCCCATTCAGCCAATATCTGTTTGTCTTGAGATATCTCTGACTTGGTCCGTTCCACAACAGCAGCATCCAACATGGCTCGCAAGCCTTGTTCTTCCACATCGTAGCCTTTCAGTTGATCCTCCCACAACTTTACCAGATGGTCTGCAACATATGGCATACATACTAATTTCACAGTAAATATGTTTAGATACAAGCAATGCTGTATGCCTCAAACCATGTACAGTCCAAACAGTGTTTGTGCATTTAACAGAAATAAGCTTCTAATTAATGATTTTAAAAATCCATATGGGCAACCAACCTGTGACTCTTGTGAATCTGAGTCCACTCTCTGCATCTATGCGTTGGCCTCTGTTCGTTGCAATCTGTGCCCTAATGCGACGAAGCTTTTGCAATGCTGTCAGCATGTTTACCTGTCGTTGTGCCTCTGACTTCTTGCGGGTAACCTCTGCCAGAACCTGATCTGCTTCATGCTTCAGACTCTCTTCCTGTCAAGTTTAACACTAAAATTATTGATCTGGGATCATGAAATTGAGTGTTATGTGAAAGAAAATCTTAAATCCAGGAACATTAAATAAGGATTTCACAGTGTGTATTTGCATACACTCTTGTTATTTTTATCTCAATGTACTATAAAATTATAGTAGAAAATATTTATGAAGTGGCACAATTTTTAAAAAGAATATCCATTCTTGACACTGCAAGCAAATATACACAATTGATAATATTCAAATTTCATTCAGCAACTGTGAGATTACATTTGTTTAAGTGTGATGGACTTCTCCATTTATTAATGTGAAGCACCACCTATTGTTCAGGTTCCACAACGTGGACAACTTATATTACTAGCCATAAAGGGAATAACTAAGGAAACTAGATAATGTAACCTAATCTACAGCTTATAACTGATGTAAGCTCTCTTGTACAGGAGCACAGAAAGTATGTGATCTGACAACACAGGTCGCAAATTCATGGGCATCTGTGAATAATCTCTTTGAAAGGTACCCAACATTTGACATAAATGGTGCTCTCTTGCCTGGGTACAGTATATCTTATTGAACAAGTAAAGAGAAGGAAAGGGAAAGAAAAAGATGAAGCACAGGAGGGCTACTGCCTATCATTAACCACTGGAACTTACCCTCTTTGCATCCTCAACCACTTCCTGCATATTTTCAAGCCAGGTGTCAATTTTTTTATGCAGTTGCTGTCTTCTGGTATGAGATTGTCTCACAGCTTCCTTATGTGCAGCACGCTGTCTTCTCTGTCTCAGACGTTTCTTACTGCGTTTCAGCAGTGTTAACCTCAGAGCATCTAAAGTTTCAGGATTATGCAGTTTGTCCAGATGGTTACTTACCTGAGCCTAAACAAAACAAAAATTTCAATTCATATGAAGACTATGTACATACGATCACCTCCAGTTATGTTCTCAAATTTTTCCTTTTTCAGAGAAATTTTCTCATAATTGAACACAAGAACATACACAGCAAAACTGTCAATAAAAGTATCTCTATACATATTTTGTTAGTTTCCACTAAATTCCATACATTCATGCAAACATAAAGGGCTGCTATTACACACCTGTGAAAGAAAAATTTGTTTTGCTGATACAGCCAATTATGAATCACTATCTTCACATGCATAAATTTAAAATGGCGTTTAAATTTGAAATACAAGCCACAAGGAGTGATATCTGGGTTGTATGCAGGTTCAAGAAAGGGAAATCATATCAAATATAAAGTGACTTCTACTGCTTGATGACTTGTATGTGGTATTATTTTTTTCATGTTCATAATCAATTTACAGCTTACATGGGTCTAAAGTCTCTTTAGAGTGGTGAATGTCCCAGAGAGCAGTATCCATAACCATGTTTGCTTATGCCTGGGTTCTGAACACTTTTTGGATGAGAACAGTCATGCCTCAAATTACTGGACTGCATACTCTCAAGATTCATATTGGTGTACCCAGGGTTTTTCAGCGGTTAATGTGTGTAACAGTAGCAGGAGTTCTACTAAGTTCTCACAGTGGTGGTTTATGCAGAGTTCATCTTCTGCAATCTGCTTGCTGCCGGCTTCACTCTGGTTTCTTGCTTGACTTACTCTTCAACATGTTCCTCTGAAATGTAGGCTGACTTTCAATGGAGAACACAACGTTATATCTCAGGAGATAGAACTTGTCTGTCTCTCAGTTATCTGTACCACTGAGGAAGCTCTGAGCAATGTCATATGCATTCTGCATAACCACTGAACACAAGCTCTGTTCCACCAAGGCCTTTATAATTTCCTGGATGGCATAATAGCAAACACAAACAATATTGCCTGTTTCACAAATTATTCTGCATTAAAACATTAACCATAGGATAGAGTAGTTAATGTAGCGACTGGCTATGGGCTGGACGGTCAGTTTGATACCTGGTAGGGGCAAGATTTTTCTTCTCTTCATGTCATCCACACTGGCACTGGGGCCCACCTAGCATCCTATCCAATGGTCACTGGGGGCCCTTTTGCCACAAGTAAAGTGGCCATGGTGTGAAGCTCACCACTCACCTCCAGCTAGAGCCAAGGTCATGAATACGTGGATAAGTACATCCACTCCCCCATACATATTTTATAACAGGTGTGTGTTAAAACACAACTAAGATAATAGGAAATTTGAACTGCTGTGTACATCTGTATACTATCCACTCAGCAAAAGAATTTTGCCAGGAAAGATGAGAAATACAGATACAACTACTAACAAATTTCCAGTATAAATTACAATAAAATAATCCGCAGAAGAAAATCTTGTACATACACTACTGACATTTCTGAGAGATATCACAGTCATTATTATATTATTATTTTCATCAATTAATATTTCTGTTACAAATGTCAACATTAACAAGCTGAACACATTTATGAATTAAACTCTCTTAACATGAAAGATTCTCAATCCACTAATGTTCATCTTTGCATGTTTAATTTCTTGATTTGTGCACAGCAGCATAAGCACCTTACCTGAACTTTCTTCACATGATCCCATTTTTCTCTCCAACAAGGACTCAGATCATAACATTTCATTCTTAGTTCTTGCTGTAAACTGTGCAATTCATCTAAACCGGTTATGCATAATTGTAACATGCATCTGGCTTCAAACAGCTGAAACACATATCAATAATTATAACAAATAGTCAAGTCCATCCTGACTGTACAGCTCTACACTTTCCAATTCTTTTACTATATCTACTCATATGGAGACAATATATGCATGATACTGTCTGAAATACTGAATTTCAAACTCCAAGCAGACATACAGCCACCAAAGCATGGACTTTACTTTATAATTATTACCATAACAATCACCATTTGCAATTCAAGATACCTATCAGCAATACCATGCTCATTTATTTCAAAATTATTAAGGTCTTATTGGTTGAAAACAAACTGCAATTTCAGTGATACCACACAAAAGATTAATGTGAAATGCGCACCTTCAGTGGTACAGCTGGCTGTTTCTGATATGAATTGGTGTGAGTCATCCTCTTTTTCTGCAGCCAGTCTTTCAGCCACGGTGAATCATGAGTCATATGTGTATGTACTTCTTGAGCGGGTGCATTCTCTTGACCCCATTCTTTGGGTTGAGGAACAGAATGCTCTTGAGGCAGCAGTAGTATTGGTAGCTGTGGAAGTGGTGATGGGGGATGATTGTGATACATGTCCAGATGCCATGTTTCTACAGCGTGGGAAGGTCTAAATCCTGGCGGGGGAATGTTGAAGTTCACCACTGGGATGGGTGGAGATGACACAGTCTCACTCGTCAATTTGTTTATGAATGGTGGGGGATAACTGTATGCCATCTCTTAATGACTCAAATATGCTGAGAGAACTAGTTTCTTATTGTATTAAAACGTTATGTAATTTAAATGAAGTTTCATTCAGTATTTCAAGCATGCAAAATTAAAAAAAAAAGTTTTTTTAATATTACAGTATAAAAACAAAGCACAAAATGTTAAACAAATTAGTTTTGTTTAGTCTTGGTTACAGTTCAACAGAAGTGTTACAATGCTACAGGGTTTTCAAGCTCCAGCTCTGCTTCCTCAAGAATCTTCTTCGCTGAAATATATTCTTCTGACTCGCTCAGAGCCGCTTCTGTTTCCAGAAGAATTTTCAGTTCATCGAATGCCTTTACCAATCGTCGCTGGCAGTCAGGAACCATAAAAAGGGATTCCCGTAGCACTTCCTCCTGCTTACGAATATCGTGTTCGTCTTTTCCTGAAAACCAATGTCACTTATCAGACAAACAGCTTGACTAATTTGCAGTAGTGGCCCACAATGGATCTGCATGAAAGCAATATTTCTCCTAAAACAAGTGACTTTATGGGCAGGAAAGCCACTACTAACATTTTACAGAACAGAACACAATGTATCGGCAGACATTTCATATGCAGAACTCCCAAAAATGCAGTTCTCTGTAAACTTAGTACAGTTATGGACAAACTGGCTGGCTTCCCACCACTGCGGTCTAGTCAAGTGGGATTTGTGATGGACAAAGTGGTGCTGGGGCAGGTTTTCCTCAAGTACTTTGGTTTCCCCTGCCAATTCTCATTCCATCGAATTCTCCATAAGCATTATCACCAGTACAGGCACAATAGGACATATGGAAGCCGACGTGCCGAGGGGACCTAATATGGATTCCACCTCACACTATATGAAATCTTAACTGTTGTAATCTACTGTAATCTATTGTAAACAATTTTAAGTATTGTAACTTTATTCTCTTATTGTAATCAGCCGATGTACAGTAACTGACTTGTCCTATATCATGTAACAATGATCTATAGGGACGAAATAAATAAATAAACTGGATATTAAAGGCCAACATGGGAGGTTCCATTCTGCCTTGCCCCACTGTCTATGACAGAGCATTTTCTACATATTAGTCTGATTTTTGGTTAGACACTTTCTCAGACTGCTTAAATTAAAGCTAATCAATTTCCCCAAAGCATTAACAAAATATGGATGGCCAAAACTGTTACTTTCCAACCTAATGGTCTGTTATAATCTCTTATATTGTCAATATATATGGACAAATACCGTCTTAAGTGCAACAATTTTATTGTAGTTTTTACTTCTTTTTCCTCCTCCACACTACATGTTTCGGCCCTAAATGGCCATCATCAGGTGTGTATCACTCACGTAACTGTTACACTGCTTGTTAAAAATGTAAAAATCCCAGTCTTTCTAATTGTATAAAATCTTTGTTAATCTACA